GCCAAACTCGCAATGCATACAAGGTTAGTGGTAAAATTTAAGGTGGACAGGGATTGGATCTATTTTGAGGGAGGGAAAAGATGAGCCACTATGGTTAACACAGAGTATGCAATCGAACTCTGCATAAATACCGTTTCAAGCATTCTGATCTGATAAGAAACGACAACAAGAACGCCACTGCTGTCGGTTCGCTACCATGTCCTTCAGTGTCTCCAACCAACCGGTTGTGGAGTCTTTCGGACCCCAACCTGGAAGGTGAGAGACCTACTCTACATAATGGCTCTGTGCATTTCTTTATGCCTCATCTCGACGTTGTCTGTTGACCTGCATGCGGTTCCCTCCAACCCGAATTAGCCACAGCGAATAAAGCGCGGTGCGGCAGACGATGAGGCATAAAGAAATGCACAGNCAGCGAAGCCTAGTAATCTGAATTCGGTGTGCTGATACCTGATAGACTCCCCAACACGGAAGAAAAACAAAATATGGGAACGAATAACAAAAAGACATAAGACTTCAATCTGTCAAACAACGACTTGAACAATAAACCTTGCCTTGTTCATTCGGTAAACTCCGGTAAATTCTAAGCAAAATCTATCGTGGCAGTCGGCTTACAGGCTACCTGGTGGATGCCATATACCACCATAAGTTGGATGGGTGATTCGATTGTGAAAAGATCAGTGCTATTGGTGTGGCCTCGTAGCTCAGCCGGTAGAGCGTGCTCTGTACAAAAGCGCAGGCGGTGTCCAAGCATGGGTTCAAATCCCACAGAGGCTACTGTACTCTTTCCAACTTCAACATAAGACTTCAATCTACTAAACGGCCATTTGAACAATCAGAATATCAGAAACCGAACCAGACGGGTAAGAAACAACTGAAGCGAGGAGAATTAGAACTTCTCACGGATTCACTCACTTTCTTGATTCCGGATAGACGGATCTGCTCCGTGTGCCAGGAGCAAAGCACACAGTTGAGTTCGCCCTTTTTGGGCCGCCTCATGCAAAGGTGTGTAGCCCCATTTGTCTACGGAATTTACAGAAGTTCCGTAACGAATAAGCAACGCGGCAACATCCACATGTCCGTACGAGCTGGCATTGTGCAGAGGAATCAGACCACCTTTGTCCTTTGCGTTTACATCCGCACCGGTCTCCAGCAGAAACTGAACGACCTGAGAGCAAAATAAATAGTTGTTATCATGATCAAAAAAGGGGCTCCGATAGACTAAAAAATGAGTGGAAGTGGACCACAGAAAATCTGACGAAAGGGTAAAAATGTATTTTTTCGGCTTTTCTCGAACACCCGATGTTGTGCACTTAGTGCACAAGTTTAAAAGGGTGATTTATTAATGCAAAGATGCACTGAGGAATGTCTTATTATGACCAAAAATGTCTTTTACAGTTGCATCAAAAAGGTCTGAACCTGTATCTTGGACAAACAACGGGTAGATATCTCTTCGCTTCGATGACAAATTCATCTCGACTCAGACGCTAAGAGCTATTTCTTCTTGAAGATGAGCAACTCTGCTATTGTTTTGTTGTTCTCTTACTAGTTCTGAGCCAGTATGTTTTAATAACGTGTTGTTAATGAAGATAGTCTCTAGTTCAGCCGCTAGTTGAACCAACACAGCGTACGTTTTGAAACGAATATCTCTGTTCGCCAGTTTTTCGAAATTTCAGAAACCTTTAGAGATTTACAATATCGAATTCCTGGATCACCTGATCAAACAAATTATCTTTGTCAATCAAGTTGTTAGTTAGAGCCTTGGATACCACAGCCATTAACAAACAACGGACAAAATATTATTTTTCTATGGGGGATATTTTTCTTTGGGTTTATTCAATGTAAATGAGATGAAGCGGGAAAGATACAATAAAAAACCCAACGATGAAAAACATGAAAATGCGATCCGTCGAAAGACTCGATTTGAGCGAGCAGCATCAAACAAAGACGAATTTAACTAAAGCGAAAAAACCAAGCTAACCTCAACATTGTTATAGCCTGCAGCTAAGTGTAATGGGGCAGAGTTGCGACCTTGTGTGTCCCGACAGTTGATATTGGCCGGTGTGATCAAACGTTGTAGCTTGAGCAAATCACCTCGTTTAGCTGCCTCGAGGACGGCGGCATCACCGCGAAGCAAATCGTACACGTCACTTTCAGTGTCCTGAGTGTGGAGGAAGGCGGAATGTAGAATCATGGATCCAGGAGGATAAGTGAACAGATATTAATATATCTAACCATACATTGGTTGGTGCTAAGTTCGCCAAACGGGAAGCTTGGTGTGACCTACATGACCAAGTTCTTTGGTCGAGGTTTTCACGCCGTCATGCTGAGTCGTAATCTGACCAAACTTGGCTTGCTTTTCAAGACTACCTCAGCAAGCAATGTACGCCGAGGTAGCCTGTCCAGTGTTATCCATAACATGACCCAACCACTGCTGTTTATGGTGGTCACTTAATAAAGAGAGTGACCGTGATTAAAAACTCACTTTTGCATCTGATTTATCGGCATCCTGTAAATTTGAGTCATATATCATGTATGTCTGAGTCCGGAACGTGTGCCAAACAAATCCACGATTCGCTCGTGGGCGAGATGTCACGAAATATTCTCATTTAGTAATTCGGTGAATTTTACTGGGTGACTCACAACCGGAGCCTTTACTTAATCTGTTAGGCAGCGGAGCGGTGTGTGAAAACCGCAACCCAATGGCGGCCGGCTCTCCGTGCATCCGACCGTAGACCTCTTGGACGGGCCAAACATCCAAGGTGTCCAAAATAACGACCAAAACCAGCTCATGTAACCACAACAGAGATAGTTGTACACACTGACAATGAAATACTGAAGTTAACTGTTCACCAAGTCCGAACCTCTTCCTCATGAAACAACTGCACTTGCTAATGTGTTGTTTCACGGGTATACTCGGAAACGCGTGCGTCCTCTCACTCCTGCTGCAAGAACCAAATTATTGGTTGTTCAAGAAGAAACACCAGTCAAAACCAATCAACTGAACCTTTTCGTTGTTGAGAGAAACGGCACTAACTTTAACCAAATCGATTGGTGTATGCCCATCACGATTCTTCTTGTTCGGATCCGCCCCATGTTGCAGCAATAGACGACATATCTCGAATTTGCCCTTGGCTGCAGCCTCGTGCAATGGAGTATAGCGCCACAAATCGGTCACATTCACATTGGCTCCATGCTGAATCAGTAATTCAGCCACCTAAACGAGGAGGAAATACAATACAGTGTGTGTGCAGATTACGGGGAGGGGAGGGGGAGTACGTAAACGATTAATAGGACGTGTACACCACCCTTGAGTAGTCACTTATACAAGCGCGAAAATAAAAAAAATTAGGGATCACGATAACACAATCATCATCATCATCATCACACAGCAAGTCCCACTGGGCAAAGTAGGGGTCATGAATGAACAGTGAATGCACAAACTGACTTGCTTGTCTCAATAATTATTATATCTAACGGTCTTTATCCAAAACGATAACCGGACAGTTTTGACCGACATTTGATGCTAACGAGTGAATTAACAATTTGCCCGGACGCATACTTTAAGTTGTGCATGACCAAACCCGGTCACAACATGACCAGAGAATTTATCAAGGTCTGGCACTCGTCAGTCATCCCCGTGAACACATCGACCTAGATCACGAGTAAACGCCAATGAAACTCAAGGAGCAAAAGAACTCACGTCAAGAGCCGAGAATGGACCTAATAAAACCGCGATACACTCACTTCGTGCTAGTTCAACGGTAAATATGCTAAAAGCAACGGAAACAAGTTGTTGGAAAAACCATACGTAAGCGAACGGGGAGAAGCAGAACTACGCCACCAGACAGGCAATGAGGATGTTAGCTCGGCAGATGACGAAACGTTTGCGTCCAAACTGCCAAGTTCAGAGAACAGGCTAAAATGAATGTAAGTGCCCGCTTTCCAAAACCAAAACGCACATCTATCATATCATCTGTCTCACTCAAAGGGATTGTGACGATTCATGAACCAGAGATCACACAGTGTGGAGGCTATTCGTACTATTCCTAACCACAGGGCTAATGGAAACTGGTTTCGATGAAACAACAGATGCACAAGCGGATTCCTGTGTCAAGCTGTCCTTTGGACTAATTGCGCTGTTCAATGATGAACATAGAAACAAGTGATGACTAGTTCTATGCGTCTTTACAAAAAAAGAGACGCTGAGACAGGTATTGATACACTAAAGTTGTGCGCCACGGTATTGTTTTTCTCAATGTGTTCTGTTGGATTATTCAAACGACAATACTCATATGGTTACAAAACGACGTTTTGATATCAGAGGACGCCATTTTGTTTGTTTGGTTTTAACTGTCATTCTTTTATTCGATCCCGGAATGTAACGAACTTTGTAATGTTCTTGTCCTCTTCTTCTCTCCTTATATATATATATATATATATATATATATATATATATATATATATATATATAAGGAGAGAAGAAGAGGACAAGAACATTACAAAGTTCGNTATATATGCGTGTGTGATCATCATAGCAACAAGCTTCCTTGTAAATAGACTGGGAAACCAGCCACGAAGCTTAACTAAGTTAGTATTGCGACCCGGTGCACCGGAACGAAAAAGAGTCTTCACATTAAGATCTCATTGAGTTAGATGGATGATATAAAGAGAGTGAAGATTAAAATAAAGAACAGAGAATAGGGAACGCCAAATACAAACTTATCCACTAGATTTAACAAGAGTGTAGCATTATTCACATATGAGGGGCGAAGAAAAACTAATTAATGTGATATAATGCACACCGAAGTCCGTAAAGACTGGAAGAACGTAGCCGCAAGTACATGATTAAAGTAACTGTATGAACTTGCATAAATGTACGATTGAAAACCGTGATATCCTGGTCAGCATACAGGTAGCAAAAACAGGGAATGAGAGTTAAAAAAAGAGCAACACAAAGTTCCGTTTCAGACAATTTCGAAATTATACTTACAATGATCGAACAGCAGTGGTAACAACCGTCGATACGCACTATGCGCAAAGATAAATAACAGTTGACCAATCAAAATTAGAACCGTGGTGAGAAATCGATTTAAGGATGGGGGAGGGGGTATACAGGTTACTTTGAAGTTAAAAGTTTACCAAGAAAGGTTATCGATTTTGTCATTGCATAATGCGGCTCTCACCGAATTCAAGACAACTATGATTTACAAAGCTATTAGTTTTACTTTCACTTACCTTTGTATGCCCGTAAGAACAAGCGTTATGCAGAGGAACAAGACCGCCTTTGTCCTTGGCGTGTACATCGGCGTTGTACTGGAGTAGCAATTCAACCACCGCGAGGCGATTGTACCCCGCAGCGAAATGCAATGGAGTCGAATGACGTCCGTCAATGTCACGGCAGTTAATCAAATCCATTGGGGGACCAGCAGCGGATGCAGTTCCTGGGGCGAAATCATCTACATCGCGAGTACCACCGTACGATGAATTGGCTACATAAGCACCACCTGGATGCAGTGCAGCACGTCCAGCAATACCCTCTTGATGCGCCGTAATTAAACGACGGACCATTTCCACATCACCCGCCTTGGCAGCTTCAAGTAATTGAAGCACCGTATCAGCCCATGTATATCCACCGATACCAGGAGATGGTTGTGAGATTGAAGCCATCGTAGCCGTTGGTGGGGGTGGTGCGGAGTTAATGGCCACTGCTGGCACCAGTGTGTTTGCGTCAGATGACACACTGCCTACGACTGTTGCCGGGGGTACTGTGACCGTTGAACTGACCTGCGAAACGGCGTTCACATAACTGTTTTCCGCGTAGGTGGTTGTGGACGACACAGACGGCGTATACATCATACGCGGTGACGATGAAATTATAGAATCCATAGGTTCAGCCATATCACAAGTCACTGAGTATTCTGGATTAGCAGCTAGATGCAAGTAAGAACAAAAAGGGCGTTGACGTTTGAGAATGCAACACGAATACCAGGAAACAAAGCACTATTCAGTTAAAACTGACAAGTGAATATCCGCCTCCACCCCCACTCCAAAAATACACTAGTTTGACAGATTTTGGTACAACAGACAGAAAAGAAGTCCCATTTTCGGTAGTTTTAATGGGTTTGTAAAAAAATCGACAAAGGCTGTTTATCGATTCACGCGGGTGCTGAATGGACACTGCAGTGCACTAAATCCTCAAAGTGCTGAACAGCTGTGCACAATCACACGATCACTTGGTAGAAAAAACCGGGATTGGTGAGTGAAGACCCGGGTGAATTCGACTATATAACAGTAAATACAAATACCGGAATTCNATGGACTTAGTTCGACTCTCTCACACACACTTCGAACGACGCGGGTGGCTGTTCACCTGTCGAAATGTTGGTTGTCTCCTGCATGACCGGCTGAAATAATGACCACCTGAGGGCAGTGAATCATCATGAACAAGAAACAGCGCCGGCGTGCAGCAACACAGGAGGCGAAAAACAAATTACACGAACTAACTAACTAACTAACCAGCTCAATGTGTGTGTACAACGACCATACACACACACACACACGTGATGAATCAGAACATATTCGATTCGACCTGGTGTCGACGTAACGAAGGAAGTCTCCGCAGCAGCCCAGACGATCCTCATTCAAACGCCGCGACAGCTGAGAGGTGACATTTATAATAGACGTGTTCCGATGGCACTTTAGTAGTAAACAAATTACTAAGACACCGGTATATTCTCGCAAATTCCGTGAGGCCATGACAGGCTGGACGGCGGGACAAATTGAGTATAAACAGGATTTTTCCCCGTCATAAGGTACAGTTTGAACCCCGTTAAGAATCTAAACTGTAAATGAGAAATTGGTACCTTGTCCTTTCAGTGAAGGCACTGTGTATAGGGGCACAAAACAGCAATCAACCCTCCGCGTGTGGTTCTCGGTCGAGGGAACCGAGAGAAGAACAACAGGCAGTGAATTTATATGAAACTTATTATCTGATCTAAATGAGGTGAACAGATGACTGTTTTCGGAGAAGAACCTATTGAAACGTATTTAAAAATTGCGAAGATAAGAAGCACTACAGTTTTACTGCGAAGCCGAATAAGGGATAAAATACATCTCAGTCGTTTATTTTGGATAAATACAGAGTTATATGCAAAAGTTTATTTCACTAACTCGTTAAATGCTCATATGTAAATGACTGGATGAGAGGTAACCGGATACACTTATTCGATGAGTGACAATCACCGCGAAACCCGTCTTATGTTTCCCAGGAAACGTAGCACAGTGATCCCCAAATACACATTAGGTCGTATATATATATATATATATATATATATAATAACGTTAAAAAACATGAACATAAGACTTATTCGGAAAATGCGTAGAGTAGATCAAGGTATTTTTGGTGTTTCCGGTATACGATTTTGATAGCTTGCCTTTTGTTCTCAAGAACTTTTACTTTCAGGAAGTTCGTTACCAGCACAAGAGCTTTGTTCACTATCGAATCTGAACAGAAGATTGAAGACACTATTTGATTCGCGGAATCTAATCAATGCATGCTATTGAACATGCAAGTCATGTGCCCAGTTCTCGGCTTGACGCAATCTGAACTCACGCTAGCATGAAATAATAATAACGTTTCTAATGCTAACTACTATACCCCAATCAATATCGACATTAAAATCCGACGAAAAGCAGAGGCACTTTTCATGTGACTGGGGACAGAAAAACAACGAAGGCATAGAAAATGAAGCAATGAGTAGGCAGAAGAAGTGCTTAGACTCTATGCGGATGATCAGTTGTAGACACCCTGGTGATTTGCGGGGCATGCCACAAACGGCATAATCAAGTGACCAGAAGAAAACATCGAAAAGCCCAGAAGAGAAAAATTTCATTGATTCTATTCAAGTCACCCTCTCAGTTTAGATAGGAGATTTAAGTTATCGAATCCCAGTAATATTGACATGGATGTTTAGGAAAGAGAGAGGGTGAATATAATCAACTCGATTATATTAAACATATCCTAGAGATAACGATAATATACTAATCGTAAACTTGTACCAAGAAAGAAACCTACGTAATTCCACACTTCTTACCCATTGTTGCAGGTCCCATAAAGTTTGGTTTGTTTGAAATGGATGAGGAGTTGATATCTGTTGGCGACCGTGCTGTCACTGCGTTTGTTAGAGTCAGGGATAGCAGCTTGTCTTTCACATCCGTGCGCAGCATATTTGCGGCATCTGTCGGCTGGAATTGGTCGTTCGTTCCGATGACGGTTGCATCCAATTCGTCCGAAATGCTGGGGCCTGGTAACCCAGTCGTATCTGCACCGGAAACCTGGACCAAGAATCGAACCACATGTGCGTGGCGATATTTGGCAGCCAGAAGCAGCGGAGTGAGCCCGCGCAAATCAGCTGCATTTACCTTGGCATTGTGTTGACACAGACAAATAACCAGATCGAGCAAACCGTATCGGGATGCCAAATGCAAAGGGGTCTGTTCCAGACTGTTTGTCTGTTGCACATTCACAACCCCTGTTTGAAGTAGCCATTCAAGTAATTGCTGACGTGGGCTACGTGCAGTGAACCCTTGTCTGACACTCCCTAAAGTATCGGATTGTGTTGATTTCGCAGCGGCTGGAATAGGACAGGCTGTGGATGGGTTCAGCCCCGGAGAATTGATTGCTTTGTTCTGAGAGGTATTCGAATCAACCGGTATACAAATCTCATGCAGAACAGTGTTTCTGGTAAATGGATGTGTGAAACATAGAAGGTGATCACTACGCAGTAGATCATCTGTACAGAGCACACTGGGGCTGCCTGAGGAAGAGTCAGGACCCAAGAGGATAGCTTCCCCAGTGCCACCTGACATTGCCGCTGTCCCGGTCGTATAATCAGACCGATCGCGTATGTCCGCCGACCCCAGTGAGTTATCGGGGGAGTGTTGATAACAAAGGGCCCGATGAACCTCATTTATGTCCCCAGAACGGCAAGCAGCTAACAGTTTGAAACCTGTGCGTGTGTGGAGAAACGAACGAAGAGGGAAAAGAGAGAAAAATAAATCACCCGTAAAC